CATCCCTGGAGGTTTTTAAGGATAAGTAGGACAAACACCTGTCAGTGATAGTCTAGGTTTACTTGGTCCAGACTCAACCCAGGGGAACCAGTGACCTCTCAAGATCCCTTCTAGCTCTACCTTTCTTCAATTCTATACTTTGATCCTCCCCAAATGGCACTCAAATTAAAGGCCCAAATTTGGCAGCCTTTATTCAGTTGAAATGCTCAGTCATTAATACGTATTTTGATGGGAAAATGGTTGCAGGATTTAGTCCCAAGCAACCTAGATGCAGCTTCCTAATCAGTATAACTTTCCTAAGAGTCTGCTTAGCAACATGTTGAATGGAAACTTCGGTTGAGATTGCTCTTTTGTATAGATCATTTCAATGCATGTACGCCATAGAGGGACAACGAATCTTCTTGACCGGGCATAACGCTGTGAGTTTTAGAGGACATTTAGAGCAGCATTTTGCAGAGTTCAATATGGTATGCTAACAACTGTCATGATTAGGAAGAAGGGAAGGCTTTCTTTGCAAAAGATGCATATTGAAATAACTGATATACAAAGACAGCATGGTAGGAATCTATCTCAAAATATATTAATATCAAAATCAGTCAAATAACAGGATGTTTCAAATATAATCATTAGAAAAAAACGAGAGGGGCTTGATATATAATAATTACTAAGCTTTCTGAGGAAGTAGCTGTCTATCTAGAGACTTATGCAGTCCCCTTTTCTGTCTGGGAGGTGCTTGCTTGTTACAGTAATGAACTTAACTTCACAACAAACCCCACGATCTAAGAAAGTTATTACATCCATTTTGCGGTTGGAAAATTAAGGAACAAAAGAGTAGTACTTCCATTGTATAAAGACGGCTCAGAGTCAAAGGAGCAATTCTGTGCTCCTTTCCACCCAGCTCCAATTGAAGGGCTCCTTTCTGAGGGATAAGTTGCATGGCCATGGTGAATCTATGCTCCTCCAATTTTCAGTTGCTAGAACAGCATAGCTGGGTATAAATGAGAATAGTCTTTAAACTATGCTAGGGAGTTAGTAGGCCTCAGAATCCAGGGGAATTGAAGAAAATGGTGTAAAAAATCCTTCTAGAACTGGCACATTTCAAACAGAGTTCAGAAGCTGGCTCAAAATTTGCTCCGTTATTTCCCAGTGTGTAGCACATTGAGAATGAAATAAGATGGGGCCATTTAGTTCATGGTTCTTAGCCTGAAACACCCTTAGTACTTATGGTGATGGATGAATTATCCTTAGGGCAAAGGTCATCCAGCATAATTTTATGTATAAAATATATGCAAATTATTTAAAAAAAGACACCACTGATTCTGTCACTAGAATTTGCATTGGTAGGAGGAGGCAGGAGGCAATGTGGTTTTATGATTCTTTTTTGTTTTATGTTACATAGTTCCTCTGTTTAGTCAGCTAAACACGTTGGCAATCTGCTTGTCAACTCTGAACAATCTGTACGTAGCAACATGCCAGTGTTTGATTCACTGCATATTTGAGTAAAAGGCTTACACATGGGTAGAAGGCATTTCTTCTTTTTCTCTATACTGTGCAACTAGGGAACTTTTGAGGTGGGCTTTATGCCCAATTGTTATTCTTTGTCATATACATCCTTCTTTAAGGATCAAACAGTCTGGCACAGGGAAATACAATACGTTGAATAACAGTTTAAAATAATAGGTGCAGATATTGGAGCTTTATGCCAGGAGTTTGAAAGAGAAAGGGAAGTTGCTTGACCCAGTAGAAGTGGGAGATGGTTCAAAGCATAATAGCAGAATGGCATGATAGAGAATGTATGCAGCAGAGACTGAGGGAAGGCTACCAAAGAAGTGAGCAAAGTGGAATGAATTTAGATCTGGGCTCTGTGTTCAAAAGTTTCAATTCAGCCTTCACGTCTACATACAGTCACTTGCAATCATCCTTTGTGGTGCATTATTCCTTATTTGCACAAATTATAGAACTTACAAATGCAAAATCCAGTTGCATGAACTTGGTGCTTAAATTGCACACCTAGGGTGTGTCTAGACTACAGGGTTTTGTGGACAAAAGTGGACTTCTGTCGACAAAACTATATCTGCGTCTACACTACCGCCAAGTTCTATCAACATAACGTCAACAGAACTCGGCAGTTTTGTCGATGGCGGTAAACCTCATTCTACGAGGAATAACTCCTTTTGTTGACAGAGTTGACAGAAGGCGTTATTGCATCTATACTGTCCTTTGCATCTACACTCTAATGTTGACAAAGCAGCTTGTTTTTGTCGACAGAACTGGATGCTATTTGTCGACAAAAGCTTTGTCAACAGTATCTTTTGACAAAAGCCTGTAGTCTAGACGTACCCCTAGAGGGGGGTCTGTTACTTGTGCACAAAAGTGATAGTGTGAGAAAACATTGCACACAAATGATTGGTGCACACACAGTAGAGCACATCTCAAAGGAAGCCATATTTCAAAATGTAAACATGATGGCTGTGTCTACACCGGCCACTTTTCCGGAATAACTTGCCAGCTGTTTACATTGGCCGCTTGCTTTTCCGGAAAAGCAATGATGGTCTAATGTAAAAACATCATTGTTTTTCCGGAAGAACTATGCTGCTCCCGTTCGGGCAAAAGTCCTTTTCCGGAAAAACTGTTCTGGAAAAGGGCCAGTGTAGACAGCCCAGTAGTCTTTTCCACAAAAAAGCCCCAATCGCGAAAATGACGATCGGGGCTTTTTTGCAGGGAAGCGCGTCTACATTGGCACGGACGCTTTTCCGGAAAAAGTGCTTTTCTGGAAAAGCATCCTGCCAATGTAGACGTAGCCGATATGTTTTACCCACAGAACAGCAGCTTTTTCTTCACAGCTCAAAAGGTAGGAAAAGGATTGGCATGCTTCCTAACATAGTTACCTTGTACAGATGGTTCTCTTGCATACATATGTGAAGTACTGAAAATTGCTGCCTCTGTTGTTTGCTCTTGGTTCCTTTTTGAGGTGTGGGAATGAAGAAGCCAGTAAAAGTGAAAGTGAGATAGGTGATTTATTACAGTCATGCTTGTGTAATTTAAAAAAAAAAGATAGAAAAAGGAAATGTAACATCTAATATAGCCATTTAATGCTGGGTTTGCTCCACCTAATAAATTGGAGAAATTGTGCAAGAACAGTAGAGTGGTATGACAGACTTGAACCTTCATTATGGAGCAAGGAGTAAGGTCAGTTTATCTGGAGAGGAAGTGCAATAGGTTTGTCTCTTATTATCAAAAGCATCTTAAATCATATCACTGATCTCTCTCCAGTGAGAGGTATGACTATGAGCTTTCGTGATCATATTTGAACTACATGAGTATTCACACAGCATTCAGTGAATTCCCAAAGTCTTATTTAGTTTGCACTGGAATAAAATTAAAATTTGAGGTTGGTTCTCCAGGCTTTCTTTTGCTTGGTTGTACCAAAATCTTGGTCAGGAATTTTCTGTTTGTCTAGATTCATGCACTTAATAACTTGATAAATTCCCTTCCACAACCTTTGATATGCTTTTTTCCCTCTCCCTGCACAATGGACAGAAAAATGGATTTTATGCAGGGCAAAAGTAATCAATTAAGAACACCTTCTATGTGCCAGTTAGTTTCCACTGATGTCCCCTAACAAATACATAAGAGCCCAAAGCATTAAATACTTTCTGAGTGTTGCCATCAGCTGTATTTGTTTTCAGTTGGAATTGAGGCCTCTCACATTTCGGGGTTCAGCACCCTATAAGGTCCCTAAGTGTTTAATTCCATTCCTCATATGTACCCGAAATAAAACCTGCTTTTCGGGAATGACCTTGTTTTTCAAAAGTCCTTCACTCTCGTAGATGTTGTCTCAAGCCCCGATAATACAGCATAAAGGCATCAAGCATTTTGTTGAGTCCTGCAGGCTCTTGACTAATTTCTCAGTTAGAAGTTGGCATTTCTAATGGATTCACTCATTGCACTGGACTGGCGTTTGCTTTGGGCTTGTTACTTGCACTATTCAAAGGATCTGATTTTTTTATTCAAGAAGCTGCTGAATGCCAAATGTACTAGATCCAGTTTGAAATGGGAACGCATTGGTGTTTTACAAAGAGTACAGCAGAAGGGACAGTGGTTGGGGAGGGGGATACTTACACAAAAATCACACAACTGTGGACTGAGGTAAGATGTCAAAATTAATGTAGTAAATTATAATGTAAACCTCAGGAACAACGAAGAGCATGGGAAAAATACATACTAAACATTAGTTTAGAATGGAAAGTGGATAGTTAGTCATTAGATGGAAGGGAGATTTCCCTGGCTTGTCCCCTATAGATAAATCACTGAGCAAAAGCCACAAAGAAGCTTCTTGGTAGTCACGAAGAAGCTAATAATCACTCTGAACCCTAAAATCTCATTGAAAATAGTTGAAAGTGTGGTTTAGAGTTTTTTGTTCAATATATAACATGTTTCGTGGACTGTTACTGTCCGATTTTGAAGTTCTCAGCCATTTTTACTTTACAAAGTACACCTGTGCAGTATACAGTAAGAGAGAGGCACGTATCTATGCCATGCCGAATGTCCTCTAGAGACCATTGTGGTATCAGAGAGAACATAGCAATCATCACTCTTACACTATGGATAGTTGACATTTCAACAACTTCAGCACAACACAGCTGGCACACCTAATAGCTCCAAATACACACATGCTCTCTCTGCAGCGCCACCAAAAAAAAATCCATACAACTCTCTCAGAATGACACAATCCATACATAAATCAACATAACCTTCTCAGCGCAACACCCACATCCTCCCACCCTCACTTATACTTACCCTACAATTGACTGGCATAGCTGCAGATTTGTTGCTAACATTACCATATAGTCATCCTACTATTTTAATAACGGGAGATTAAAAATCTGTGGCTAACACTTACAGTTTTGACTAGCTGAGTCGTCATGCATACTTCCTTTTTGTATTTTGTTCTGTTTTGGTTGCTGTATTTTCCTGACTTGTAAATAGTTGTATTTCAGATATTGATGAATGCCTTGAAGGTGGTCTAGGTACCTGTGGCCAATCCTGCATCAATGTTCCAGGGTCCTATCTCTGCTCCTGCTTGCCTGGCTACACACTGGACAATGACAGGTGGTCCTGTTATGCTGATGGTGAGATGATATTTTTAAATGTCTGAAAGGAGCTTTATCATTTTATCTAGTGGTTAGCCCCTGTTCACAATGCAAAAACATTCCAGGTGAGGCTGCTCCTAGCACTGACCTGACATAACTCAGCTACAGGACAATGACTGGGTCAATTTCAGGTGCTGATTAAACAACTGCCATAACTAACCTAACATTCAAGTGGAAAGTGAGCTGACTGGAAGGGGCTATGCTCTGGTGTTAGCATGACAGCTCACACACAAAACATAGGGTGTGGTTGTGGTAAGAAAAGGGAGCATGTAAAAATGAGCCCTTCTTACTTAACAGACTCTGTCTGTTTGCAGTGTCATAGCATCCACCTGTTCATCCATCCTTCTCCTAACTAGCTCTCCCAATATTCTTCCTCCTCCAAAAAATCATGCCCATCACATTTTTCACTCTGTGAGTTTTATCTTTTTCCCTTACACTCTGTCAGCCTTTGCTATTTGGAATGTCACCTCTTTGGGGCAGAACTATCTACTCCTTTGTTTGTACAGCTCCAGCACAATGGAGTCCCAGTCTTGGCTGGTCCTTATGCACTACCTTAAAACATGATCAATCATAATACATTCTGTCATGTTCAATACTGTAATACCTAGCACTTACAACCAAATCAAGTTTGAATACATGTTACTCCTGGTAGCTTCCTGGTGCCCGTTTAGCTAAGGAAGACAGAACTCGATTCAGTCTGGCCCACAACTCAACAACAGAATTATTAGCTCCTATCCAGCTTCATCATACTACATCACACAACTGATGAAGAGTGAGCCAGAAAGAAACAAACTTGATTTTTGGATCCCAGGCTGAGTTCACAAGGCTACAAGCAGTACAAGGAGTTTAAAAGACGTTATCTAATATTTACTTTTAAATTATGTACATTTGAGCTGGAGACCTAGGAGAGGGAAATAATGTAGCTTCATGAGGCCATTTGTGCAGAGATGCTTTTCTGAGAAAAGTCCCATATTAAATTGGAAATTATACCTCATTAAATTGGAAACTATGTCCTCCACATCATTGTTTTTTAAGGATCATTTCAAAGGTTAAAACACTGTCCAGGAAGGCTCCTGGAGCTGTTGTTTGGGTTATTTGCTGAGCTGCTTTATATAAACAATACAAGTGTCAAGCCCTAGTCCTGTATATTTTATTTAAGTTATAATGTGTGGACAGTCAAAGGAGAAGTAGCTTTTCACTTGAATTGTTGTCAAGGTGGGTCAGAAGCCTTATAGCTCATATCTCCATCTCTGGATATACAGTTTTCGGTAGGAAGAATACCAAACAAAATTCCTTCCTGTTATACAGGCTACAGTAAGCACTTTGGGGCAGAGGCTTTCTCTTTCTGTTTGTTTGATCAGCACCTTATACAATGAAGTTCCAAACTTGATTGATATCTCTGGATGATAGCATAATATACATATTTAAATAATAACAGAACAAAATTCCTCAATGTGTTCAACTCCACTTCAGTTGGAGTCCTCAGTTAAACTACTGTTGTAAGAAATTCGTCGACTGGAGAGGACAAGAACAAAATATCTATAAACTCTTGGTCTGTGGAGTAATTGGCAAAATTGCAAGCAGTACAGCTGCGAGATTCCTGAGACAAATCAACCTTGCTTCAGTTCAACATTAATTTACCATGTACGTAAATGAAGTCTACATAGCTGAAATACTCTCACATGGATTTGCTCAGTGCAAACAACAGAAAAAGAGAGTCACTAACATCTTAGAAGCAGCTGTTCTAATTGGGTAATACCTTGAAAATGCCATGTACAAAACAGCCTATAATACAAATCAGTGTGCTGGTTAACTTTCTCTTGTTCAACAGTAAACCAAATCTTGGGTTCTGGTAAAAAACTGCGGCCTAAACCTGCTATTTGAAAGCAGAATCAAACTCAGAATCTGGAGGGATTAAGGAGTCCCATTATCTTGTTCAGGCACAGAGTTTTATTTGTCTGTCTTCACCTTACAAGTGTTATGCATCTTGAAATCATCTAGTTCAAGTGTATAGGAATGATGACAATGGAGTTTAGAACCAAAGCTTATGTCTAGTTTAAAATTATAAAATTCTATTAATCTTTTAAGATTAAAACCGATGTATGAATAAGTACATATGAATGTTAAAAGCAAGTCAGTGAAAACTGGTGGTAGAGTGTGAGTTTAAGGGATTTTAAGATTTCCCTTGCAGTATTAGAAACAAAACCCAAGACGTGACTGGACAGTTGTTATAGTTGTAACAGATTTCAGGATGATATCCATGTTACACATTTCAGGTGCATCTTCCACCTCTTTGTGTGCTCTGACCAGTTTCAGACACCATTTCATAACCTGCACATAGACTCTGCCATTTACGTTTTTATTTCTTTCCCTTCCAAATGTGGTTTTGGTGGCCAATTGATTATTAGGCAGCGCACTGATATGCAAAACAATTTAAAAAAAATCAAAGACTGAATTGTGACTGGCCTGGTGAAGCTCCTTGACTCACCAGCATACTAATGGCTTGTACTATCTGAGTGAAAAGAAATGTGTACTGCTGACCATGCTGCACATATCAAACTGGCTCTGTCTGGGTATGGTAATGGGGTTGTTATACCTCCCTCATCCTCTCTGATTCTAATTAGTGTTTCTAGGGCTGTGCTGTTGGGAATGCATAGTAATACTTTTCTATCAGGGTAAAAAGCCTCTCTGTTAAACATCCTCATCTCTGAAAAAAAGAAATCCACAAACATTTTGAAATATGGAAATGCACAATTAGGCACCCAAACAACCTTAACTCTGCCCTATAAGGGCACCATAAGGGGAAAATAAATCTAGCAAGAACATACATTGTTTTAATGTAATCTGGGGCCACAGACACTCTAATGTACAAATCAAAGTTATATGATTATTTCATGGTATCACCAGAGGGCAGAGTTAAGGCTGTTTGGGTGCCCTAACTGTGCATTTCCATTCCTTGCATTTAACCTCAGGTCTGGATTCCCAGTGTTTGGGATGCTTGCAGCACTGAGGTAGTGATGGTGCTCTCAATCATAACTCCATCCTATTGTGGATTATGTCTGGGAATGAATGGTAATTAGTGGTTGCCCAAGTCTATATTTGCAGTTATTTGCTGGTTTCTATGAGCTACCTATGCCCAGACCTCGCCAGTTTCCACTATTGCTCCCCAGGACCTTCATCCCCCAGTGTACAGATCTGAAGAGACACTCTGGTTGTCTCTCTGGCTACGTCTACACTACGTGATTCTTGCGCAAGAAGACTTTTGCGCAAGAGTTTTTCCACAAAAACTTCTTGCGCAAGAGCACATCCACACCTCAAAGCACATTACAAAAGCCATGTGCTTTTGCACAAGAGAGTGTCCACGCTGCATGGATGCTCTTGTGCAAGAAAGCTCTGATGGCCATTCATCTGTGCTTTTGCCCATAGGGTTTTCTTGTGCAAGAAATCCCTCTGGAACATCCACACTTGCCTTCTTGTGCAATAGCTGTAGTGCTAAAAGCAGTGATGCCTCAGAAAAGGAGGTTTACCTACAGCAGAAAAAGCCCCTTGTTCTGCCATTTAACTGCCCATTTAATTGTGCAACAGCTCATTTGAGGTCTGGACACTTCACAGGTTTTTGCGCAAAACAGTTGTTTTTGCACAAAAACCTTGTACAGTAGACATAGCTTCTGTGTCTAACTATATAGACACAGTCATTCAGGGCTAGTCAGGGCTGTAACCCTCTTTC